AGTCTTTTGACCTTATGTTTAAAGTATTTCATCGGGGTTGAGATAACAATCAGTTAATTATGAATTATGAAAAACCGTGGCCAATTATCGGATGATCAGTTGATTTTATTATTTGTACTATATTTTTATATTTCTTCAGCACAGCCTATATGAAATGCAAATAATAATGATAATTTGTTCTGTCTAAGAAATCCTAACAGCAAAAACTTAATGTAAGTGTAAAAATATAATAAACATCATTATCAAGAAGAGGTCATTGGATAAAAAAAGCAATGTGCTATGGCTATTATTGCAAAGGTCATCTTCGCAAAAGCATATTTTGTTGTCACTTGTTGCCACAAAGTTTTGCACCAGCTCATCAATATAACATCGCTCGGACATCTGTCGCGCATATGGTCGTTTATCAATCCACATATTACTCCAACAATTACGATAAATATATTGATCACCTACAAATGAAATTTAAATGTTAACAATCCTTGAGACAAAATAAACCGACTCTCACTGATACAAAAATCAAGAGAAATATTGAAAAATTGATAGTAATATGTGACGGAAAGAATTAGGTTTTATGAAACGAAATTTTATGAAGAAAATTAGAATGTTGTTGAATGGTTTTCATAATACGAAAGAAAATTTTTAGAAAATTTCTAAATTCATAAAAAATAAACAGACAGTAAAATTAATAAAGGTGCTAAATTATTTCATTTCAGAAACTACAAAATTTGATCTGAAAAGGAAAAACACATTACCGTTATGGTGTCCTTTCAGTTTGACACATGCGCCTGGTTCCATAACAGTATTTGGGCAAAATACTAAATCCGTTTGATAATAATTTGGATTATTTGGGAGATATGATTCGAAACACTTTGTTACATGTTTTGGTATCAGCAATCCAGCCTGTTTACAAGAATTTATTGATCGACAACAAATTCTCCTAATTTATAATAAGTGAATAAGTTCTTAGGTTTTTTAGAGCCGCTATGTATGTACATATATATAATGAGGCCGCCGTATATAATAAATCCTAATACCATAACTCCTATGCAAACATAGCCAAAACCTAGACTCTTACTTTTTCAAGTGTCCGATATAGATCAGCAGTGGAGCTGCTGTCGTAGGATTGTTGTGAATCAGAATCATTTGCGGAAGATATGCAAGCGTAACAGACCACCTGACCTTTTAAACGACTTTTGAACACTTTTGGTGACGGTGTATGTACTATGTGGCTAGAGGCCACTGAACACACTGCAAGTTTTACAGACCATCAAATCTTTGAATAGGTTTGCATGCTTATTCACAATACTTCTGCTAACCATATATTGATTGCTACATACAGATGGCAAAATATTGCTGACTCCGAGGAGTTCGAAATGTTAGTTTAGTTCTAAATAAGACTATTCAAGTTTTGCTTTTGATAAACCAATATTGATTATCTTAGTATTCCGAATAAAATTAAAAAATTCCAATACCTTACCGATAAAGAAAAGTGCGAATACAACTGCAACGTCTTTAGAGTTATATAAGCTTAAAGTCGACATTAATTGAATTGATCCAGACCCGGATGAATCATCGTTTATTCAAATAAGTATTAATTTATGAATTAGAATGTTGCAACACAACAGCATAAAATTAATATCAGAAAATTACTAAATTAAAAGACCAGAAGCAGCGTGGAAAAGTAAGTTAAATGAACACACTTAATGAAAATATATTTTGCTATCTTGATACTGCTTCACAATACCTGCTCCATTCTGAAATATCTTTTAAAAAAGGTTCAGTTCCCTCAGCGTAAACTCGACACGAAAATATCTTTCAATAACATTTACTACTTAGCGCTTGAATAATTTACGCATTATATTGAATGAAGAATGATTACTTTATTGGCATATCCATGAAAGATAAAAAGTGACTCATTAATAATGAAACTTAATTTTCTCCCCATACTCTATTTCAAATGTCTATTATTCTCATTCACGTTTTCATATACCAAAATCCTCTTTTTGCAACATATGATTTTTTTTTCGCAAATAAAAGAATACTACTTATTGAATGGCAGATATTATTTATTGATTGATAGGAATGATGGGAGGAAGCAATACAATTACTTGTATTTTAGACTTTACAAGTATAATAAGGCAAGAATTAATAGTTTCTGATCTCAAGATAGGAATATTTTTATAGTAATCGGTGTTGACAGTCACGAAAAGAAATGTAGCTGTGATGAGCAGCAAGTTGAAAATCACAGAACAACTCCAAATGAACGATAGGGAAAACTTAATAAAAATATTCAAGAAATGATTTAAAAAGTGATATTGCCAAAAATACATGATAATTAAGGATGAATGTAGCATTGCAGCAGTGTATTTTCTTTTATATAAGACAACATTCAGTGATGAACAACAAAACAATTTCAACAGGAGAGATGTTACTCACGGTTGATTCACTTTAAATGTTTGGTACAGGTATATTACAGAGAAAGAGAGGAAATGCTTTACGAAAAAGCTGGAAAAATGAAAAATGAAACATTAATAAACTTGAAAAAAAGTGAAATTAAAAAGTAGTTGCTGTTTAATATAATTTGATCGGACATAAATAGCTTAAAAGAAATATTTTGCGCTCAACTTTTTGCATTAAAAGAATTACAGTAGATTTTAATTAAAATTGTCGTCAATTTCTTTATCTAAAAAAAAAAAAAAATAATAGAAAAAGGAAGATTGTGAGGTTATAATAATGATTTCCTCCATTCTTTTAGCGTCCATTAAAAAACAGAAACTTCTTTTCGAATTGATTGGAGGATTGAATTGTTTCTAAGCAATATAAGAATAAATAGATTTTAGAGATACAGTCGTTTTGTCTCGCATTTGAATTTAATACTTAATAATAGAAATTAAATGATGATAATGGAGATTGAATCCTGATAATAAAAACTGAATGCTGATAATGATGTCACCAACCCACATAAAGTAATAGAGGACAGATAACTTCAAATTCAAAAATATTAAAAATTTACTAAGAAATCTTTTTTTAGTAAATCTTTAGTAGTGATCTTATCTACAATTTCATTTGGAGACCTAAAGAAAAGATTTAATGTGTACCAATTTTTTAGCAAATGTTTTTTTTTCCTTTTTTTTTTTTAGTAAAAAATGTTTACTGAGAAAAGAAACGAGTTTGTCAAGAAGTATAAATGACTTTAAAAGAATTTTTTTAACTTGAAAAGTCCACTCAAAATGATTGCATTTTTCGATATTAGCGAAAAGTACAACTATCGCACTACAGTTATTTCCAACACATCGCTATTTTTAAAAGATCTTATCTACAATTTCATTTGGAGACCTAAAGAAAAGATTTAATGTGTACCAATGATTAACCGTTCATACTCTCTTCAACCTTTTGTTGTACTTCACTGATCAATATTCATATATATATATATCAATTCTTATAGGAAATGAACTGGATTAAATGCGGTAATATCTGAAGCCCGAAAAATCAAATCAAATCAATGACAAAGAGAAGTAAAAGAGGGATGGTGGGGCTATTTTAAAGGATAATGTGATCCATGAAATAATTGAATGAAAGCATAAGCAAAACGACGAGACATTCTTTAGCAGTTCTCAATTATCTTCCGAAAGTAATTTACAGAGAATGCATTACAGAATAAAGTCATAATGTCATATTTTCATGGTAGAAAAACCTATGAATGAAACATTCAACTGCATTTTGCAAAAGTATGAAAAAAAAAAATATATGATTCTTGCTAAATAAACCGTCATTTTTAAACCCGTCATTTTTTGCTTATTTGACACCCTCCGAGCAAAATTAAGCTACTTCAGTAGGATTAATTTGGCATTTCTATAGTTTGCAACTGTAGAAAACACTTTAAAGTTGACAATGCTTTTTTTGGATTTAGTAATGGTGTAACAATAGACTGTGTTTTTCGCAAAACTTCCAAAAAAAAATGTTATTAAAAAAAATGAATAGAAAATTGTTGAGAACTTATAACTTTTTTCAAACTTTTAACGAATTTTTCCTCAAAAAAAAATTCTAATTATTATTATTAATGGTGTTTTTCAACAGAATTTTTTTTAATAGTGAGTAAAAATAATTTAAATCTGTTTTCGAGATAATGCACAGAGAATTTGATTTATATATAAAATAGAATGCATTTAATGTGGCAACAAATATTTTAATTGGTAAAAATTAATTAATTTTAGTGATAGGAAGGAATAAAAGACAGTGACTCTGATGCAGCATTTTTGTCAACTGTTAACAAATAAGCTAAGTACTGAGCAGTATTCGGTCTTCTTTTTTGTTACAAATCTTTTCTCTCATCATTCATCTTTTGTTATTCTAAAATTGTTCATAAATATGATAAAAATGAAAGTGAAAATTAATGGAAATTATCAATCAAATATGTGTAAAACTGACTTTTCACAAGATAGGTCACCATTTCTGATGTTTCAGAAATCTCGGCTAGCACTCAAACCAAGGAAATCATTATTAATTGATTTGAAAAAAAAAAAAAAAAATGTCGGAATATAACAAGATTTCTGTACTTCGTGCCTTAAGTTTTAGTGGCAAAAAGATTGATAACAGTTCACAGAGAACTATGAAAGGATTGATGGAATACCTAAATGGAAAATATAACTGATTACATTCTGTGCATTTTTTTCTTCAATGACATTGAACTGAAACATGTGAGAAAGTAAGAAACTATAAAGGGAAGAACTGTAAACCGGTTGTGAAGGTAACCCGTATCGCAAGTTATAAAGTTCCAGGACATTCAGTTTTAAAAAATAAAAGAATAAGTAAAAACGCTGTGCATTTTTTCCAGCTACTTCTTTATAATTTCATTGTATTTCATTTTATAAATTTGATTTGCTTGCATTTTCCTTAATCACAGACTTCTATACCTAAGCAGTCTTATTCTTCATCTATATTATCGAATTATAGTACTACCTTCATTTAGGTATCACGTAAAAGTATATCATGGTTAAAAGATGCTAACAATACAACTTTCATTATTCGCAGTATTCAGTGCTATCATTTGGGCAACTGCAAACAAGGAGAATTCTCCGATTATAAGGTGAAAGTGTTTTGTGAAGCTAGGAAATCAAAACAGAAATGATTAGCATTATTTATGATGAATTTATCTAAATTTTCAAAAAACTTAAAACCCGAAGTTTGTCAAACATATTATAATTGTGAGAGAGGAAACCTTTTATCTATCCTGTAGAGATTCAGATCAAAAACATATGAATATACTGTCGCCTCGCAATCGAAACTACTACCGAAAGCTGGTCTAAATAGCAGCATATTGTGCTGCCTTCGACAGATAAGGAGAAATCTCAATAATCGTTTAATCCAAGAAGTGAATCTACCCTGCAAAATTGCTTGTGATCTTGATCATTCAATAGGAACACTTTTCGTAACGAATATTTCCGATTCAGAGTCTTCTCTATCGATTCGTAACAAACCACAATTCGGTTGTTCCCGCAGTAGCAGCTCTACCTCAGACTCTTGTACGAGTTTCTTTTGTTAGTACATCTTCAAAGCAATTTAGGCAAACATCTCGTTTTATTTTGAATGAGTCATTTTTAAAATGCAGTTAGTTCTTAGTTTATATGTATAATTTCAGCTAAAGGAATTAAAAATGAAACGATTCAACTGCAGTAAATAGTAGCACATAAGTGAAATACTAATTAACATTAGTATCTTCGATTTACTAAAAGAAAGGCAAGAACACTTCGAATTTTCTTTTGAATTCAACTAAACCATATATTTAAATGATAAATTTGAGATGGTTGCGGCCAACTTAATATTCGCAGTGGTAATGTTAATGGAAAATTACAACGTATTACACTACGAATACCGTTCCCCAACGTTAGATCACATTTTGCCGCTTCGTGGGGTACAGTACGGGAAATGCTCACCCCAACAAAATTTCGACATTACCAGATACACTTCAGAGACAATACACGTCAGAGGGCTGTATACAGTAAGTATGAACTATCAACACCAATCACTAGCACTAATCATCCAGGTTAACATTAGCATCTTCAACCTACTAAAAAAAAGCAAGGAGGTGTTGAAATTTTCTTTTGAATTCAACCTAACCATATATTTGAAGATAAATTCATCTTTGCCTTTCTTTTGACCATCATCACTTTACTGTGCAGTCTGGGTATGTCGTCCTTCCCTTCATCACATTTCATTAGATGGCAAATATAAAAGGCAATTCCGAAGAGATTAGTATTGAATGAAACCTCCAACATTCCTTCCCTATCATACCAAAGCTCTCCTAGCTTTACTCCTGTTGTTCTCTTTCCCATTCTAGTCCATTCTTCGCATTAGTAAGTTTCAATCAATACGACTTTCAAGGAGAACTGGCTATCATTTCTGGCTTCCAAACTATATTTGCCTCAAGGTTAATTTAAATTTTGAATATAGATTAGATAACAATTTCGATTGCAGGATAGCAACTCACTTCCCAACTACTAGACTAATGGATATTAACAAAAGCTGAATTGAAAGAATTAGAGTTGATCTACCTCCATGATAAATTTAGAATTTAAGGAGAAACAAACATCGATTACAGAAAGGTATCATTTGTGAAAATTCCATCTACCAAATCAGATGATGGATATGTGACACGAACAACAAGAAAATCAATCCCCAGTTACATCAAACCAACGTTTGTTTCATTTTAAATCCAACAAAAATTTTTCATGTTTTAATGCAAATGCTAGTAATAACTAAATAAAAGAAAAACAGAATAAGTTATAATCCGTTCGAAATGCAGTAAAATGAATAATAAGAAGGGCAGTTTATGAGTAATAAATAAAATGAAATGAAATTCACAAAAAAAATATGCTTTCACACTGCTGCCTCAATAAGCATTATAATGAGCAGAGACTTTATTTGAACAGTAATCCAAATGCATTCTAAACCAAAAGTTTTTTCATGCATGACAGATAGGACAAAGAGTCAAGAAATCTCCTATACGAATTAGTAAACGGGAGGAGAAATTTATGGCTAAACTGGATATATTTTACACACTATTTCAATTAATTAGTTTTTCCTCACAAAAAGATGGATTAAAATAAGTGACATAGACAATCCCTTTCTATCTATAATTTTACAAATATTTCTTTTTGACTTTATTGATTGGATTTATTGAAGAGATATGATAGTAGAGGATAAACAAAGTTATACTCTGGACACTGCAGAAGGTGACTATCTTAACTCGGATCCACAAATACAAGTAATCGCGAGCGAAGTGGACCATGAAATACCTAGTGGTGAGTATGTACTTTTTTAAAATAATAAACCATAATCAGGACCTAACAATGACATTAATATTATAAATGGGATAGCAAATCTTAATCAAGTGCTGGAATTGGATAACAAACACGAGAGTGGAAGTCTGACATAAAATTAACTTAACGAAAGAAAATTGACACTAATTTAATGTAAGGTAAATGTTCTTCTATAGTGCTTTTCAGATCGAAAACGAAAGCTGAAACAGTGAAATATAATATCAAATCGAAGATTCCCCTTCCCAAATGAGAAGACAGTTTATCTTATGTTACACTAAATGGAAAAAACTGCAAATTTAAATGTATTCAATAATTTTCATCTGTTTTTGCAATGTAATTTTCTATTTCCTGCGATTTTTGTTACACATACACAGACTGTTTTTATATGTGTCTAGGAAATATTATACTATTGACTATTCTGTTTTTATCCTTACATTAGTGAAGCTTTGTTTAAATCAAAGTGGGAATACTATGGATTCCACTACGACACTCTGTAAAATTATGCTTTATTACCATTTAATAATCAGATCTTTACTGAAGTTCCATTATCAGTCCACTGATGAGATTCTATTAATGCATTCTGAACAGCACTAAACTAAGTGACACGTCCTTATCCTATAGGAGTTGGATCTGCAAAGCTTGTCATCTACTGAGTGATAAAAAAGTGCAATGTCGCCACACCAACTGGAAGTGAAAATATCAGGTACCGAAGCTTTAACTTACCAGCACTTTATTATTATCAGAAATATTGAGATTTTTTCCACTTGCAGATTTAATTTCTTTTCTCTCGAAATAAACAGCGAATAATTGAAGCTCAAGCTCACTGAGAGGGATTCCTATTTCATTTGTTTATGTATATCCAAACTGAACTGATGAATATAGACACAGTATAAACATATCATGTATTTTCCAATTTCTTTTATTTCTTAATAAATAGACATTCGATAATTTAATGAAAGTACTTCAAGATTTAAAGAAAAAATTTCATGATTTGACAAAATCCTTTAAAATAATACATGCAAACTACAGCAAAGAAATGAATATAATATATCTCAAAAGACGGAAAAAGAAAAAGGAGAAAGAGATTTAACTCGCTGTCATCCTTCTCAATTATCAAAACTAAATAGACTTATTCGCAAGTAGACATACCATCACAGTTTATGCTCAACTAGTTGACATCTATAGCAGTTATTGCTCCCACAGTTCAGTTACGAGTGATGACCTCTAGATCAAAAATCCTCCGATCTTCCTTATTTCATATTTCGAATCATGCAATCGATATGCAACATTTCTCGCTTCATGATTGAGGGGAGTCCGGTTGGCCGGTGTGGAGTAAGGTTTGGTTGGTATTAGTTTTGTGTAGACTGGGTTGGAGTAACTTGAAAGTAATGGTAAGACAGAGTTAAGAGTTATGGGAAGAAGGCAGTGAAATAGAGTATGGTTATGGAAAGATGGACGGAGGCGTCATTAAGGTCAAATTGACTTATTCGAAATAGGTTAATTGGTCAGTTACTCGGACTTGGATTAGTGAACTTAACTATAAGCTGATATGTGCGATGTGTGTGTGTGTGCGTAGTTATTAAAAATTGAGCTCAATTAATTTCTTGCGTAAGCTTTAAAAAAAAAATACTTTTTCAGTTGCAATAAGATGGAACTGATGCTGTTTGGAATTAAGTAACTTTATTGTGCATAAAGTGAGCTGGATAGGTATTTTTAAAAAAGCATACACAGAGAGATTATGGGAAGAAGAGAATTTATAGACAACTCGAACTTTGCAAAATAGAGTGTTGAAGAGTAGAATGCTTATGAACACCTTTTTAGCTAAATGGAGAAAGCAATCTTTGCATTAAAATTTGAACAGATCAGAGCGGCTTACAAGAAAATGAAAGAGGAAGGGTAAAGTTGTTTTTTCAATAAAAAATTTGTTTCCTAATATGTACTTATCTTGGTTCTAACAACCCTAATATTTTGAGTAAGAAATTTGAAAACGTCTATAGTTTTACTTTATACTTACCAATAAGAACATCGGATCAGCATTTAGAACTTGACAAATAATTTTTTAAAAAATATATATACAGTAAAGGAATTTCAGGAGTGCTGCCGAAGTAATTCGGTTGACAATTGAGAATGCCATACACCGGAAAGCATTTGAGATTGCACAGTGTACGGATATTGAGCAAGAAAGTCTTCTGAGGCAGTTACTAGCTGTTACATTCCAAGCTGCTAAAGAAGGTGTAACTAAGATAATTTACCCCCAAGTTCTTTTTTATTTTACCGAGGTTTTCTAGTCTGTATCCAAGATCTTTTTAGTCTTCATCTTTAAATTGCAGATTTTTGTGCAAAAGGAACAACAGTTGCTGTGATACAAGATGTATTCGATGTTAGCCCAGTTAAACATTGTGAAAGACTCTTCGCTATTGTTGAAGACAATTTGCCACAATGGAAAATGGTGCACACTTCTCGTTGTTTTTCTCTTAAAATTTCTAACCAATTTTGTGATGTTTTTTATGTAGCATAACTTAATTTTTAGGGTATTTTTTACGAGCCTTGCAAAAATATGATATTGAGGATGTGTAATGATTTGCTGAAGCGCCTTTCACGGACGGTGGATACAAGCTTTTGTGGCCGGATTTTAGTGTTATTAGCACATGCGCTACCACTGTGTGAGAAATCCGGCTTAAATCTTGTTAGCCATTTTAATCTGGGCAATATCACGAAATATGACTTGGTAAATGGATCCTTTGTTTCTTTAATAACATTTTTTCATATATTTCATTAAGGTAACATATAGTAGTGATTTCCGGAATTTTTTCGCACTTCTTTTGTCGAATATTTAATTGCTCTATTTTTTGTGTCGTTTTTATTTTTAGGCAGATTCTTGCTTTGCTGTTGATGCGAATTTAACGGAGGACAGCGACGTTATGGAAGTCGGTGAAATAAGTGAACGGTATTTTTTTATTTTTTGAAATTGGAAAAGAAATTAATTTCTTTTTTTTTGATATCAATGAATTTAATAAACGAAATGGTACAAGCCATCCGTCATTGGCTTACAGGAGTGTAAGTTGTAGTATGGTACGAAAACTTGTCCCTATGTTTCAAAAAGTATTAGTTTATGATATTGTTCTTTTCGATTTTTTTTTTTTTTTGTGAAATTTTAGTAACGTTTGTTATTCAAATTGTTTGACGAAGGAAAGAAATATTGATCTATCTTCATTCCACCAAAAAGATGTATTAATTCGTAATCCTTAGTTATTTTTCGTCTTGTTAGTCCTAACATATTAGAGGATGATTTTCATAAGTCTGCTCTTCATTTTTAAGGGAAATTCCCGTGGATTATACACTTTATGCGAAATTTTGGCAGTTACAATCTTTCTTCTCTTCACCAGCAACATGTTTTGAAAAATCTAAATGGAGGACTTTTCAGCAGGTGTCGCACAGTAATTTATTTTGCATGATTTTGTTCTATTTAGTAATATCGAGAACCAGATAAAATTTTTCAAAATGTAGATAGCAATCAATCCTTATTTTATAGAACACAACTGAGGTGCTCAACATATTTTCAAGTCATAAACTGGAATTCTCTGCAACCCTTGAAGAAGGTTCGAAAAGAGAACGGTCGAAGCAGGTTTCTTCTTGCTTTTTTCTTTATTCTGAGCTCATTAAACATTTTTCCTGATCTAAACAGCATTTTTAAACGAAGTAATACTTTTTTTTGTGTCTTCGTTTATTTGCAACTTTATACTGTTTTTTGCGAAGAAGTTCTTATTCTTAGGAAAATTCAAATGATGAAATTGCTGCAATCCCATCTACTTCGAGAGCTGATGGAGATGAAGACATTTATTTTGCGAAATATTTAACTAGTCAGAAGGTAGTTTATTCTCGGCAGTTCATTGGTATTATATTAGAGTAACGTTTTTAAAAATTGCATGTCCGAAATTATGATACCACTGAATTGCAATTTTTTCAGCTATTGCAATTACAGTTGAATGATTCTCAATTTCGACGTTACTTCCTTGTGCAGTGCCTAATTCTATACCAATATTTAGTATCCGATATCAAATTCAAGGAGTAACTACTTTCGTTTTTGGATTTTCAATTACTTTCTGAATCTCTTTTTGATATATTTTAGTCATCATGTTGTAAGTAGAAAATTTCTACCTATCTTTATTTTTCTAGCAAATCTTTTACTCTGAATGATGAACAGTTACGATTTATTATTGAATCCACTGAGAGATGTTTTCGACTACTTCGTGAGACGTATCCAAAAGGACCTCATTTTGCTGATGCTATGAAAGTGAGTTTTCACTAACTCAAAATTTGGAAGAACTGGATAGAGAAAATTACTTTCTGAAGTATATTTAGGTAATTCTTCATCGTGAGAAGGAATGGTCTGAATGGAAGAACAAAGGTTGCCTGGATTATACTCAATTGGCAGACAAAGAAAAGCCTAGCGTTTTTAAAAAGTAAGTTACTACAATTGCATAAAATGAACATGAAACATACTGAAATATTTCTTACGTTGCGAGAGTTATAATAATAGTATATCATGTTGGATCTTATAACTGAAACATTTTCCTTCAAAATCGAAAATAAAAAAGTAAAGTGAAACAGTTTTTTTTTATTCTCCTTATTTTCGAATCCATGAAATATGTAAGATAAATTAATAATTTTTTGTTCATCTTTTGTAGGCGGCCTAGAAACAGATATGACCCCTCGAAACTTGATCTCGGCAATCCAGAACTGACGAAGTTATGGAATATCAATCCAGATATGTTGTCAGCTTGTGAAGACTCAAGAAGGTAAAATTTGATGCTTCTAGATAAAAGTGTAGGCAGCATTTTTCATATGGTGAAGCATTTTATCCGTTAGAGATTGTATTTGAAAAGCATATCGTAATCTTAATTACTATCTTTTCATAGAATGTACTGATTTCAGTCATATAATTTGTTTCAATGACATCATTTCTGATTACGAAAGTATATAAACAAAGCTTTTCATATGGAAGAGGCGAAAGTCATTTTCTTATAAGTTACCTAATGTAGAAGCTTGGTTCTTTCAGAAATTTTATACCGAAGTTGGTTGCATTCCTTGAAGATCCTCTCGACGAACTAGATCCGGAACAACTAGTTGAAGAGCAATATAGGCAATTTTTAGCAATTTTTATCGCTACATTTTGCTTCCTTAATCTATTGGTTTTGGATAATGTTAAGACGAATGTAATAAATGTTGATATTTATTGGTTTCCACTCAGTAATTTCAAGACTTCATTTTTTTGGGGGAGGAAACGAATTTAATATATCAGGATTGCACTAGAAAATGCAAAAATGGAAGTAAATGAAAAAATCGACATAACCAACATTTATGATTGTTATATGTGAATTGTGATTTCTTTTCTAAAATCCTTTCAGATCGGTGAACAATGAATCGTTCCAGTGGAGAGCATCACGGCTGCTGATGTCTCAGAGCACGTCATATTTTCAAGTACGTTCTCTTTATGAACATACCAATATATTATGAAATTATTTTAATTTATGTGCTATTATAGACACCATCGAAGAGGAGTGAAGTAACAACGAATTTAGCACCATTTTTGGAAGAAGTGATCAAGCATACTGCAGCTAATTTCCCGGTTAGTTTTAATTGTATGGTTTGGTGCAAACTAATTTTTGTTCGAGCAGAATTTCCTTGCTACTTGTAAAATAAATCGTTTTCAAGAATGTATGCGATCTTCATCTATTGAGACCAGTTCCATAGAGTTAAAGGTATCTGCATGCAAGGAGATTCTAATTATCCTACAGTTTAGAAAACTCCATTATTTCAAACCTATATGACTGAAAAAAAAAAGGAAAGTAATCGTATTTTGCAACTAACATTTCAGGAATTGAAAGATCGCATTCCGGGTATTACAGATAACAAAAGAAATATCAAAGGAAATGTGAATAGTAATAACAGTTCTGCTTCATCAGCTCTTCGTAATGGGTTCCTTTCTCTTTTATTTCTAAATTTTTTGTAATACGTGGTGATTCAATTTCTTCTATTTTTTAAGAAGTAGTAAACTACTTAGCAGTGAATTCATCTATATAACATATTTTGCTTTTGTGTATTAGAAACTTTGCTGCACAAATGTTCTTATATTTTTGTTATTGTTGTTGGATTTTCACAGGACTTCACTCCGTCTTATTCAGTAATGCAGAAATCACCATTTGGTAAGCTGTGATAGCTGCTATTTACTGAATCTTTGGTGAAAACGTTGCTAGTACAGAAATGACTGGTTTTTCTGCTATTTTTTTTTTTTTTTTTTCAGGCGGGAGCATATTGAACCATCTGCTGCTTTAACTGACTCACACATCGAACAGCTGGCACCGTTACTTGCAAGCAATTGGTCGACGTTAGCAGATGTAATGAATATCAATAAAGAAAGAAACGACGCGAAAGAAGAGGTGTGCGGCATAGTGATGTCTTGATATCAGTTCTGTACATATGTTTGACCATACTTTTCTTACATTTATTTAATGAAGTTTCATGAAACTACTCAAGTTTGCTGGAAAGTATTCTTTTCGTTCCAGCCAATGAAAGTGGCACAAAGAATACTAACAGCCTGGAGGCAGAAGGAGGGAAAAGCAGCAACGGTTAAACGGATTAGTAGTGTTTTATTGATGGCTGAATTGTTCAGTGAACAAGTTGGACAAGTTTTTAGAGGGGTTCGTCTTTTTTTCTGTAATGTTTTTGTTTTTCTACAAAGTATTTTAAATTCTATATAAGAGTGTGCAATGTTTCAGAATACACCGAAAAGGATTTCAGTATGAGGGCTTTATGTTACTCACATTCCAAGCTGCCGTTCTGATCTCGGAACTGAGATCTTTTGTTATTTATTGTCAGAAAAAAACTAAATTTACTCTAGACTTTTCACATATGTGTGGTTGTATTTCTTACAAATAATATTTCTTAGATAACACTTAGTTAATTTATCAGACAGTTATTGTTTCCATGGTGATCTGTGACATATTTCATGAAAGGAATAACTATTAAAATGTAATTTGAAGAAAATCTCCTGCACAACTATTACGTTCGTGATTTTTTCATTCTTGTTTTCTTTATCTTACATTGAGATCACTGCGTTTGGTCTTTTGTATTACGGATATATTGTTGGATTTTGATTTATGAAATGAACTAAATGAATTACTTTTTTGTTTCTGGCATGATACTAATGTTTCTTAACGTATCTTGATGCATTAGATATCTTCATCGATTTTTGAGACATAACAGGAATTTTATGAATTAGTGATTCGAATTCCCATTAGAAGTTTTCGAGCAATAACAAGTATGGTGGTACTTTAGGCCTAATGTGAGGTTTTTCGACTTACAAGTTGATTTCGCTTTGTTCAGCTGAGAATAAGAAGTTTCGGTTTTTTTTTTTCGAATGTTCTTGATAAAAAATATTTGTGGACTAGTAGTTCGAAATATAAAGGCATGATAGTACATTGATTCTTCCTTTCTTAGCAGTCACTTACCGTTATTTGATCGAAAATTATCGCAATTTTAGTAATGTGTACAAGTAATTGGATCCAATGAGGCAATTTCAAAATGGAGTTCGAACTCCACTCAATGTTGCGTAAGTGTTCGTACGGATGTATATTTTCTATGGACCTTCTTGAATAGTTGTCTTATCTAGTGGAGAGGCTGAAAATTTTTTGTTAAGAACTTTTGGTCCCATACGAATTAATTTGCAAGTGTTATAGGTTGGTTTCGGACTTCTTTTGCCCAAATGCAGGTGGTGTGGAGACACATATATATTTTCTAGCAAAATGTTTGGTGCAGTTGGGGCATAAAGTGATAGTAATAACTCATGCCTACGGCAAACGACGTGGCATTCGATACCTTTCAAATGGACTTAAAGTAACTGTTTTATTTTGGATATTAAGTTTTACTTTCCCGTTCGTAAATATGATTCTTACTTTTTTAGGTCTACTACCTACCGTTCATTGTCATGTACAATGGCAGTTGTCTCCCCTCAATTGTTGGTTCATTGTATTGGTTTCGAAGAATATATTTAGAAGAACATATACAGATAGTACATGGTCATTCTGTGAGTGGAAATAATTCATTTTTTTAAATATATGGATTTTACTGGGATTTTAAGATTACCGGTTTAAGTGTTATACGTATTTGCTTGTTTCTTTACAGACTTTTTCAACAATGGCACACGAAGCTATGATTCATGCCTGGTGCTTGGGTTTACGCACAACATTCACCGATCATTCTCTCTTCGGTTTCGCTGATGCATCCGCAATTCTCATGAATAAATTAGTATTGCAATATTCCCTTGTCAACGTGAATAGAGTTATTTGTGTTTCGTATACCAGGTGGGATTTTCACTGTAACTGTTTAGGTTTTATAATTTTTACAACAGTTTTTTCACGATCTACAAAGTGTCATATTCTTTACATTATTCCATATTTCGAGGTGAGACTTCATTTCTTGTATAGCTCCGCCACCATCTTTAACACGTATCTTCATCCAGTAGAACATTTGCATATTTACTATTGCAGTAAAGAAAATACTGTACTGCGAAGTGGTGTTCTTGCAAATAAAGTTGCAGTTATTCCTAATGCTATTGATACAGACTTGTTTGTGCCGGATCCATTTTTGTTTCGAAAAAATCCAACAACAGTTATTGTTCTTTGCAGACTTGTATATCGTAAGGTAAAGTAGTTTTCAAATTAATCGGAGTTTTTTTTTTTTTTTTTTTTTTGCTTATAAGACCATAGAGATATTGGATACCAGTATGCGAGACGCTACGAATATTTTTCATTTTTTTTCTTTTTCAAATGATATAATCTATAAGTTTAAAGAACTAACTTGGTTTTGACATTTTCTGATTTGAAATTCTAAATTGCAGGGAGCTGATATCTTAATAAGAACTATACCTCGTGTTTGTTCACTTCATAATTCGGTACGATTTATTATTGGGGGTGATGGACCAAAACGGATTGACGTAGAAGAAATGCGCGAAAAATACCGCTTGCAAGATCGAGTAATCATGCTAGGAACACTTCCTCATGATCAGGTTTTTATGGATTGAGCTGTTTTATTTCACCAATGTTCAAGAAAATTTAACTAGAATTCTTTTTTATCTTGTCAAACAAGTTAAATTTATAAGAATTCCGTAATTGCTAAAAAAGTGGATTGCAGATCGCATTAATTTTATGATTAAATCTTTTGCATATGTAATTAAGTTCTTCACATGCACATATACAAGTGGCACGACCTTGCAATAAAGTTATACACTCTCTAATTTTCATTACATTTAATAACTACAGGTGCGCGACGTTCTTGTACAAGGGCAGATATTTTTGAACACTTCGCTTACAGAGGCATTCTGCATGAGTATTGTTGAAGCTGCTTCTTGTGGGTGAAAAATTTTTTTGCTGCTATTCTTTTGTAATCTTATTTTTCCTTTCACGGGATCATATTTTATGTTTGTACCTTTCAGCCTACACGTGGTTTCTACGCGGGTTGGTGGGATTCCCGAAGTCCTGCCGAAGGAATTTATTATGCTGGTAGAACCTGAACCAAACAGTAAGTTGATAAATTACAAACGAAAGTACTATTACTGAGTGAAAGTTTAATTTTCATTCATATTACGTATATGTAGAAGTTCATTACATGTGGTATAAAAGGCTTAAATAATTAAACATTTTTTTTTTTTTTAAATATAGATTTGAGTGACGCTTTACTGAAAGTTATTCAACTGCGGGAAAATGGACAGTTGATCGCACCGGAAGAGAAGCATGATGTGATTTGTCGCATGTATCGTTGGCCCGACATTGCGAAGCGAACTGAAAAAGTCTATCTCTCAGCGCTACAATGTCCACAATTGTCTTGGTTTGATGGACTTTTAAGGTAACTATTAACAGTAGTTCTAAATTAGCATTAAGTGCACTGGATTCTATCGCGTTAACAGAAGAATTTGGGATTATAGAACAAAAAAGCCTAAATTTCAGTTATTGCGCTTGTGGAATTGGATTCGGTATATTATATGTTTGGGCAGCTCTGTTAAACATGATCTTCATCACAATTCTCAACTACTTTGACCCAATTCCAGTAACCTTTTTTTTAATACAATAATTTTTGGTTTCTCGAATATCGATTTCTTAAGCCGAAACATTTCGGGAAACAATTGCACTGTTGAGAAGATTTTAAAATTCTTTTTTTCATGCTTATTTGCAGTCTACGAATAACCGAAAAACAGAAAGCAGATCATCTCGCTAATAAAGAATGACCTTTGCACTAAACGTATATGTTCGAAGTAGGCAGCAGTCATTAAACTTTCTCATATCATACATTTATCATCTCATCAACTTTTATTTTTTTTTATTTTGTAAGTGTTTTGACTTTGCATCTGTAATGATAATTCATAAATTGTTTAGATTTTTTGTGCTGACTTTATTTTGCACATACATAGAGTTGAGAATATTCATGCAGTTTATTTTTAAATCGCTTCGGAGAAAAATTCAAAAAATTCCAAGATATTATGAGTACCAACTGTATCTGTACCACTATTATCATGTTAGATATTATCATATTTCACATTCGATTAAGTTTTAACATGAAATTTGGAAAAAAATTTTTGTTATAAAAATGACTGAAAGTAGCATTTAAGCAACTTATACCAAAGAACATCTGATTTATTTAAAACTCATATAGCTATAATATATTTTCCACTTAATTTAATAACACACCAACCACATTATCTGTTTGAGGTCAAATTGTAAATATTATAGCAGCAAGATCAGCACTTATTCTGAAGTTGACAGAGCCACTATTATAGATGGAGTGGGCTTTTATGCAAAATTTCCATACCAAAACTTTTATACAGAATTATCCTAATTGATTGCGGTGCTTTAATTTCTGTATTTTTTGGTAAGTATTTTTGGTAAGTGTTCAAGCAGCAAACATAGACTATAGGAACTGCTGCAAACATTACAAATGGAATCTGTAGAGTTGTCTTATGCGCTTTGAGATAACTTTAAAAGACTTGTTCCTGTTCGGTTATTTTTCATTAATGTTTTGTTCGTTAATGTGTATTCGTTATTCCACGTGTTGGATGACTGAAATGAAAGTACTGATGCTTGCAATATGAATGCAATATTTTCTTCTCTATGCAACTAACCAATATTTTAAATTCTTAACAAACTGAAATGTTCAGTTCATTTTGAGTTGTCACTTCTGCCTTTATCACCTATTGAATGCATTATTGAATTTCGACATTATCATAGAAATTTTTAATTTATTCGAACATCGTTGAAACATTTTCATTAAACATTTGCGAAAAGTCGTGAACTGAATAACCTCTCAATTAGACTATGGCTAATGAAATAAGTTCTCACGTCTTGTGGATCAATTGCAGTATTTTGCTGCAGAAATGATGGACGTTTCAATAAACTAGTGGCTTTCATAATAAACTGATAACTATTAATTGCACTTCTTGAAAATGATCTATATTTCTGCTGTATTTGGAAGCGGTCTGTGTTGACAGTCTATTTTCCTTGAGCTACATAACTAGTAAATTTCGGCTGCTTGCTTATTTAGCAGTAAAAGAAAAGTACATATAGCGTTGGCTATGTTGCCAGCCTAAGCACTGGACGTGGGTACTTTTGTATACTGTTAACATTTGGACTAAATTTATGTAATCATTTTACGAACGTCTATTGATACAAATATATGAGAGAGAAATTTACCATTAGATTTAACAGTAAATATCTTAGAAGAGAAATAACAATAGATGAGGCATCATTTAAATTTG